GATGATCTCCTGATCTAAGTATAAGCACTCTACGGATTTTGGGTTGGTTTGTTCATAAAGGACGGGCGACCGATAATGACAACAACGTAATATAATATCGTAATATATACTAGCTGTACCCAGCCAAGCGTTGCTGAGCCACAGAACCCTTCACCTGTCTCCCAGTCCTCCCCACCATTCCCCCCCCCCCTCTCAAGTCTCCTCGTCCTCCCAACCATTCCCCACTTTCCTGTCCCTTCGTCTTCCCCACCATTCTCCCCGCCCCATCCAATTCCAATGCAATGTCACACAGAATAATTAAATAAAAATAAAAATAAATAAAAATCTCTGAAAATTCAATTTGTCAATGCAATCAGAAACATTGAAACGGAATGGAAACATATTTAATATAGCGTGTGTGGCTCTTACATGCAACAGACGGCGCTGTTTTTTAAAAAATCATGTTTTCACTTGTCACAGGTATGGCTTCTATACTTATACTTACGAAATGAACGGTATGGTAAACAACACAGCTCAATTCAAACACAATGTCACACAAAATAATTTAATGAAAATTAAAATAAAAAAAATCTATGAAAATTAAATTTATCAATGCAATCGGAAACATTGAAATGAAATTCGTAACATATTTAGTATAATGTGAGTATTGCTATTACATGCAACAGATGGCGCTGTTATTGAAAAAAACATGTTTTTACCTGTCACAGGTTTGGCATCTATATAATAGGCATATAAAAACACGTGCACATTCGAATGGAACGTTGTGTCACAATTTCAATGCAATCGGTGAAGAACTTTGGGAGATTACAACATATGTTGCTCTTACGTCCAACAGATGGCACTGTTTATCAAAAAAGCCATGTTTTTTCCTGTCAGACGTAAGGCATGTATATAGTAGGTATATAAAAACACGCACCTTTTTGAATGCAACGTCGTGTCAAAATCTCAAAGCAATCGGTAAAGAGGTTTCAAAGATTTCTCTCACATAAAAAAACGCATGAAAAAACACAATTTAAAAAAAGCATGTTTTTTTCGTCACAGACGTGATATCAATATAGGAAGTATATAAAAACCCGCTCGGATTCGAATGGAACATTGTGTGAACATTTTAAAGCAATCGGCGAAGAACTTTCGGAGTTTAGCAATTTTGAACAAACAAACATTTCCATTTTTATTTACATAGACTAGCTGCACCCGGTCACGTATTGCTGTGGCTCAGCAACGCTCGTGCGTTGCTGAGCCACAGCAAACTTCCAATGTTTCCCATTCCTCCCCACCATTCCCCCCCATTCCCCTGTCACCTCAACCTCCCAACCATTCCCCACTTCCCCATCCCCTCGTCCTCCCCACCATTCTCGTCCCTCCCCTGTTATGCCCAGATTTAGGAGAGTGACTTGGTCCTCAGTGAGGTTAATTCCTGCAAGGTTCAGGAAGCCATCTCTTGGTCGTGGAATTGCCATAGGTCCTCCATATAATGTTGTAAGTTTCTTGATAATCCTTGTTTCAGTGCTGAGGTGATGTCGGTCTGTGAGGATGTCGAGGTGTTGTTCAATGCGGGTACGGATACTTTCGTCGATGTTGCTATTTCTCCACTCGTTTGTAGCATGAAGTAGTTGCGTTTTGTTGTCTTTGATTTCATTCTCTGCCTTGTGTAAGTTCTATTCAGTTGTGTATTTGTAAACTAAAAGTCTTTGAAAATGTAATAAGTTTTACGAAACGCACTCGTGTCGCGTCAGACTAGAAATATAAATGAATTTTGGAGAATTGATTTTTGAATTACCTCCAACAGTGAAAAGAAATGTACAAAAGATTGAGAAAATTCGTGTTAGAATTATTAATCTTACTTTTTCGGTCATATTTAATAATATATATATATATATATATATATATATATATATATATATATATATATATATATATATATATATATATATATATATATATATATATATATATATATATATGTCGTACCTAGTAGCCAGAACGCACTTGTCAGCCTACTATGCAAGGCCAGATTTGCCTAATAAGCCAAGTTTTCCTGAATTAATATATTTTCTCTATTTTTTTTCTTATGAAATGATAAAGCTACCCATTTCATTATGTATGAGGTCAATTTTTTTTTATTGGAGTTAAAATTAACGTAGATATATGACCAAACCTAACCAACCCTACCTAACCTAACCTAACCTATCTTTAGAGGTTAGGTTAGGTGAGGTAGCCGAAAAAGTTAGGTTAGGTTAGGTAGGTTAGGTTGTCGAAAAACAATTAATTCAGGAAAACTTGGCTTATTAGGCAAATCGGGCCTTGCATAGTAGGCATAAAAGTGCGTTCTGGCTACTAGGTACGACATATATATATATATATATATATATATATATATATATATATATATATATATATATATATATATATCATTTCTATGAATAAGCAACAATACAAACTTAAAACAAATAAAACTTGAATTCAGAGGAGAATCAAATTTAAACTTTTGATATGAACAAAAGTAAAAGGAAAAGTACTGGTAATAGCTGCCTGTTATCCACCAAACTCAATTATCCCACCAATTTTGGTCCAGAAAACTATATTAGCAAAAATGAAATGTGAAAAATTGAAATGTACAATGGTTGTTGGTGGTATTTGGCTTCAGGGAAAAAGGCGCTTCAGTAGACAATTCTTACGTAGTAGAGCTAATGGCGGTAAGGTTCCTGAGTAAAGCCAATGACTTCGAGCTTCGTGGGCGGGGGGGGGGGGGGATGAATTCATAAAGGTGCAGAATGTTAAATAAAGATAATTTTTGTTGAAGAATGACCGCGCGTGGAGAGGCTGTGGAGGCGGTTAGTAATGTTCACGATGGAAGCGCTGAAATGAGAGAGAACGACACTGATGTAGAATGTTCTTCTGTTCTGTGAGACCTGCAGATTACCTCCATGTTGGCCACATGTTCTACTGTTCTGTGGGACCTGTAGATTACCTCCATGTTGGCCACATGTTCTACTGTTCTGTGGGACCTGTAGATTACCTCCATGTTGGCCACATGTTCTACTGTTCTGTGGGACCTGTAGATTACCTCCATGTTGGCCACATGTTCTACTGTTCTGTGGGACCTGTAGATTACCTCCATGTTGGCCACATGTTCTACTGTTCTGTGGGACGTGTAGATTACCTCCATGTTGGCCACATGTTCTACTGTTCTGTGGGACCTGTAGATTACCTCCATGTTGGCCACATGTTCTACTGTTCTGTGGGACCTGTAGATTACCTCCATGTTGGCCACATGTTCTACTGTTCTGTGGGACCTGTAGATTACCTCCATGTTGGCCACATGTTCTACTGTTCTGTGGGACCTGTAGATTACTTCCATGTTGGCCACATGTTCTACTGTTTTGTGGGACCTGTAGATTACCTCCATGTTGGCCACATGTTCTACTGTTCTGTGGGACCTGTAGATTACTTCCATGTTGGCCACATGTTCTACTGTTCTGTGGGACCTGTAGATTACCTCCATGTTGGCCACATGTTCTACTGTTCTGTGGGACCTGTAGAGTACCTCCATGTTGGCCACATGTTCTACTGTTCTGTGGGACCTGTAGATTACCTCCATGTTGGCCACATGTTCTACTGTTCTGTGGGACCTGCAGATTACCTCCGTGTTGGCCACATGTTCTACTGTTCTGTGGGACCTGTAGATTGCCTCCATGTTGGCCACATGTTCTACTGTTCTGTGAGACCTGTAGATTACCTCCATGTTGGCCACATGTTCTACTGTTCTGTGGGACCTGTAGATTACCTCCATGTTGGCCACATGTTCTACTGTTCTGTGGGACCTGTAGATTACTTCCATGTTGGCCACATGTTCTACTGTTCTGTGGGACCTGTAGATTACCTCCATGTTGGCCACATGTTCTACTGTTCTGTGGGACCTGTAGAGTACCTCCATGTTGGCCACATGTTCTACTGTTCTGTGGGACCTGTAGATTACCTCCATGTTGGCCACATGTTCTACTGTTCTGTGGGACCTGCAGATTACCTCCGTGTTGGCCACATGTTCTACTGTTCTGTGGGACCTGTAGATTGCCTCCATGTTGGCCACATGTTCTACTGTTCTGTGGGACCTGTAGATTACCTCCATGTTGGCCACATGTTCTACTGTTCTGTGGGACCTGTAGATTGCCTCCATGTTGGCCACATGTTCTACTGTTCTGTGGGACCTGTAGATTACCTCCATGTTGGCCACATGTTCTACTGTTCTGTGGGACCTGTAGATTACCTCCATGTTGGCCACATGTTCTACTGTTCTTCTATGTCACTATTCTCGCTTGGTGTTTCTCCTCACTCTTTCTCTTGCTACAATATTTTATTCATCTATCTCTTCATTTCCTCTTCTCCTCCACCTAAGTCTTTTCTTTCATTTTCTTAAAGTTGCCCTAATACTGCTAAGACTTACTGCGTGACGCAAGCCTGGGAACAGCATACAGAGTCAAGACTTTCTGCGTGACGCAAGCCTGGGAAAAGCTTACACAGAGCCAAGACTTACTGCGTGACGCAAGCCTGGGAACAGAGCCAAGACTTACTGCGTGACGCAAGCCTGTGAACAGCATAGAGCCAAGACTTACTGCGTGACGCAAGCCTGGGAACAGCATACACAGAGTCAAAACTTTCTGCGTGATACAAGCCTGGGAAAAGCTTACACAGAGCCAAGACTTACTGCGTGACGCAAGCCTGGGAACAGAGCCAAGACTTAATGCGTGACGCAAGCCTGTGAACAGCATAGAGCCAAGACTTACTGCGTGACGCAAGCCTGGGAACAGCATACACAGAGTCAAAACTTTCTGCGTGATGCAAGCCTGGGAAAAGCTTACACAGAGCCAAGACTTACTGCGTGACGCAAGCCTGGGAACAGAGCCAAGACTTAATGCGTGACGCAAACCTGGGAACAACATACACAGACCAGATAACAATTAGAGGGACAGAAACACCACAAGGACCCTGAACACCTGAGCATGAAGCCACACTTAAGCTTGTTGCACGGCACAATACCTGGACGGCACAGTTCTGTGCAACACCGTGCTCAGTGTTATGTTGAAACTGTGCCCAGTTCTGGGCAAATACTGTGCCCTGTTCAGTGCATCGTTAAGAAGCTCTCCCCTGTTCTAGTTGAAGGTATTATAATACCCCCCCCCCCCCCAGTCACTAAACTATCCCTCGCCCTGAACATAGAACACTATACTAAGGACAAGTCCGGAGGGAAGTGATGCACTCTCTTCTCTACAACAGCCTCTCATCTCTCGTCAAGACCAGCTTGCAGCTCTCGTCAAGTCCAACTTGCAGCTTTCGTTAAGTCCAGCTTGGTGCTCTCGTCAAGTCCAACTTGCAGCTCTCGTCAAGTCCAACTTGCAGCTCTCGTCAAGTCCAACTTGCAGCTCTCGTCAAGTCCAACTTACAGCTCTCGTCAAGTCCACTTACAGCTCTCGTCAAGTCCAGCTTGCCGCTCTCGTCAAGTCCAACTTACAGCTCTCGTCAAGTCCAACTTGCAACTCTCGTCAAGTCCAACTTACAGCTCTCGTTAAGTCCAACTTCCAGCTCTCGTCAAGTCCAACTTCCAGCTCTCGTCAAGTCCAACTTGCAGCTCTCGTCAAGTCCAACTTGCAGCTCTCGTCAAGTCCAACTTGCAGCTTGAGGCTGTGTGTGGAAGTGACCAACTAACCCGACATCTTCCCCCGTCACGCCCTCACGTCCGGCTTAAGACGTGGGAAAATCCGAGCGGCTTTAATTGTTTTATTCTATGAATGTTCAAAAGTTTACTTTATTTTAATTTTTGTTACTTGAATATTAAACTATTTGATTAGTTTTTAGTTAAACAATATTGAATTATTGTTCTTAGTTAGAGGACTGAATATTATAATTCAGCCTTCTTGAGGTTATCTTGAGATGATTTCGGGGCTTTAGTGTCCCCGCGGCCCGGTCCTCGACCAGGCCTCCACCCCCAGGAAGCAGCCCGTGAGAGCTGACTAACTCCCAGGTACCTATTTACTGCTAGGTAACAGGGGCATTCAGGATGAAAGAAACTTTGCCCATTTGCTTCTGCCTCCTGCGGGAATCGAACCCGCGCCACAGAATTACGAATCCTGCGCGGTATCCACCAGGCTACGAGGCCTGCCGGAACTTACCACACACAATGGGATGGACAACTTGCACCACTTTGTAGCGAAAATGGTACAAACAGTATTTGTTTACCTTATTGTTGCAAATTCTAAATTATAAACCCATACAACATATGGTGGTTTAATCTACTATTATACTTATAGCTAATCTATCTACAGTTTTGTAAACATGTGTAGGCTTTAGCCGAGTGGTGGTAGTAGCCGAATTAGGTTGGATAATATTCTTCCAACTTCAGATTAGGGTGTGGCCCTGTGCCTCAGAGTGCCACGTAGTTACGGCGACCTGGACGCACTTCGTACAACGAGGTAGCAATAAGTCAAAGTTATATTGGGCTGCTCAGCTTCTTGTAACTCCAACTCACAATTACCTGCCGAGTGTTTAACATTAGTATAAGCACATTAACATATAAAGTACACGTGTAACATGAATATTTGTGTATGTAGTAAAGAGCTGAGTAAAATGCTACTCACTGTGTTTGTGTTTTTCTCAGGGTAATAACCGGCTACTTATTCTATATTATACAATGCACAAATAATAGTAACAGAATATAAAGCAGTCGGATACTTAACTTAAGCACTCCTGAGTTGTAGAATTGCTGTGGCTTTTCACTAGGACAGAATAAGGTGTCTGTCGTGCGTGACTCTTATCGTAATTCTTCAGTAGAACTCATTTCGTGTGATTGTTATGATTCTGTGGCGTATGTGCCCGGTGGCACATACATGTTTTGTGGTTCTATTTGTATCTATCTTTATATAGAGAGTTAGGCTATACCCCTGGTGTTGTTAATTATATTCAGTCCTAGTGAATACTTTTTTATTGTTTAAACACTAGACTGTTGTTTAAGAGAAATGAGATAATATATATATATATATATTTTATTAAATATGACCGAAAAAGTAAGATTAATAATTCTAACACGAATTTTCTCAATCTTTCGTACATTATGCTTCACTGTTGGAGGTAAATCAAAAATCACTTCTCCAAAATTCATTTTTATTTCTAGTCTGACGCGACACGGGCGCGTTTCGTAAAACTTATTACATTTTCAAAGACTTCACAAATACACAACTGATTAGAACTAGCGTTTCCCTGATTTTATATCTACATCTGAGTGAGGTGGGAAGGGTGATGTGGCATTACATTTGAGTAAGGTGGGAAGGATGATGTGGCATTAGAGGATATTAATAGGGTATTAAAAGTATCAACACAAGACAGAACACGAAACAATGGATATTGAATAGAAGTGTTTGTAGAAAGCCTATTGGTCCATATTTCTTGATGCTTCTATATTGGAGCGGAGTCTTGAGGTGGGTAGAATATAGTTGTGCAATAATTGGCTGTTGATTGCTGGTGTTGACTTCTTGATGTGTAGTGCCTCGCAAACGTCGAGCCGCCTGCTATCGCTGTATCTATCGATGATTTCTGTGTTGTTTACTAGGATTTCTCTGGCGATGGTTTGGTTATGGGAAGAGATTATATGTTCCTTAATGGAGCCCTGTTGTTTATGCATCGTTAAACGCCTAGAAAGAGATGTTGTTGTCTTGCCTATATACTGGGTTTTTTGGAGCTTACAGTCCCCAAGTGGGCATTTGAAGGCATAGACGACGTTAGTCTCTTTTAAAGCGTTCTGTTTCGTGTCTGGAGAGTTTCTCATGAGTAGGCTGGCCGTTTTTCTGGTTTTATAGTAAATCGTCAGTTGTATCCTCTGATTTTTGTCTGTAGGGATAACGTTTCTATTAACAATATCTTTCAGGACCCTTTCCTCTGTTTTATGAGCTGTGGAAAAGAAGTTCCTGTAAAATAGTCTAATAGGGGGTATAGGTGTTGTGTTAGTTGTCTCTTCGGAGGTTGCATGGCTTTTCACTTTCCTTCTTATGATGTCTTCGATGAAACCATTGGAGAAGCCGTTATTGACTAGAACCTGCCTTACCCTACAGAGTTCTTCGTCGACTTGCTTCCATTCTGAGCTGTGGCTGAGAGCACGGTCGACGTATGCGTTAACAACACTCCTCTTGTACCTGTCGGGGCAGTCGCTGTTGGCATTTAGGCACATTCCTATGTTTGTTTCCTTTGTGTAGACTGCAGTGTGGAAACCTCCGCCCTTTTCTAGATGGGCGGAGGTTTTCTTCTTTTTTTTTTCTTCTTTTTTAATTTTTCTTCTTTTCTAGAAGCTGCCTTTTCTAGATGTAACAGTCATGGAAAAGGGCGGAGGTTTCCACACTGCAGTCTACACAAAGGAAACAAACATAGGAATGTGCCTAAATGCCAACAGCGACTGCCCCGACAGGTACAAGAGGAGTGTTGTTAACGCATACGTCGACCGTGCTCTCAGCCACAGCTCAGAATGGAAGCAAGTCGACGAAGAACTCTGTAGGGTAAGGCAGGTTCTAGTCAATAACGGCTTCTCCAATGGTTTCATCGAAGACATCATAAGAAGGAAAGTGAAAAGCCATGCAACCTCCGAAGAGACAACTAACACAACACCTATACCCCCTATTAGACTATTTTACAGGAACTTCTTTTCCACAGCTCATAAAACAGAGGAAAGGGTCCTGAAAGATATTGTTAATAGAAACGTTATCCCTACAGACAAAAATCAGAGGATACAACTGACGATTTACTATAAAACCAGAAAAACGGCCAGCCTACTCATGAGAAACTCTCCAGACACGAAACAGAACGCTTTAAAAAAGAGACTAACGTCGTCTATGCCTTCAAATGCCCACTTGGGGACTGTAAGCTCCAAAAAACCCAGTATATAGGCAAGACAACAACATCTCTTTCTAGGCGTTTAACGATGCATAAACAACAGGGCTCCATTAAGGAACATATAATCTCTTCCCATAACCAAACCATCGCCAGAGAAATCCTAGTAAACAACACAGAAATCATCGATAGATACAGCGATAGCAGGCGGCTCGACGTTTGCGAGGCACTACACATCAAGAAGTCAACACCAGCAATCAACAGCCAATTATTGCACAACTATATTCTACCCACCTCAAGACTCCGCTCCAATATAGAAGCATCAAGAAATATGGACCAATAGGCTTTCTACAAACACTTCTATTCAATATCCATTGTTTCGTGTTCTGTCTTGTGTTGATACTTTTAATACCCTATTAATATCCTCTAATGCCACATCATCCTTCCCACCTTACTCAAATGTAATGCCACATCACCCTTCCCACCTCACTCAGATGTAGATATAAAATCAGGGAAACGCTAGTTCTAATCAGTTGTGTATTTGTGAAGTCTTTGAAAATGTAATAAGTTTTACGAAACGCGCCCGTGTCGCGTCAGACTAGAAATAAAAATGAATTTTGGAGAAGTGATTTTTGATTTACCTCCAACAGTGAAGCATAATGTACGAAAGATTGAGAAAATTCGTGTTAGAATTATTAATCTTACTTTTTCGGTCATATTTAATAAAATATGTCTACAGGAAAGACTGCTACCAAAATATATATATATATATATATATATATATATATATATATATATATATATATATATATATATATATATATATATATATATGTCGTACCTAGTAGCCAGAACGCACTTCTCGGCCTACTATGCAAGGCCCGATTTGCATAATAAGCCAAGTTTTCATGAAATAATATATTTTCTCTATTTTTTTTCTTATGAAATGATAAAGCTACCCATTTCATTATGTATGAGGTCAATTTTTTTTTATTGGAGTTAAAATTAACGTAGATATATGACCGAACCTAACCAACCCTACCTAACCTAACCTAACCTATCTTTATAGGTTAGGTTAGGAAGCCGAAAAAGTTAGGTTAGGTTAAGTAGGTTAGGTAGTCGATAAACAATTAATTCATGAAAACTTGGCTTATTAGGCAAATCGGGCCTTGCATAGTAGGCTGAGAAGTGCGTTCTGGCTACTAGGTACGACATATGTACATATATACATATATATATATATATATATATATATATATATATATATATATTGTGACGGTAACGCGTTGGTGTTCGGCTGTTTAAGGCTAGGGGTATGGCCTCGTCACATAGTTATAAAAAAAAATAGAAAAACTGGAACTTCGTCTGTGGTAAGGTAAGGAGAAGACACACAAAACACAAGTAAACTTTAACAATGAAATTTTAATTACGTTAAATAAATCAAAACATGAAAATAATGCACAAACAAATTCTTATAATAAAATCAATGAATCAAAATAATAAGAATTCTTAAATGACAAAATGAAAAGTTACGTTAAGGCAAAATAACAAGAAGTGCAATACAACAGTAAGTGGGAGGTGCTGGAATATTGGCTTAAAGCCACCACCTCTCTCAGTACACTCTAGAGTCTAGCTGGGAGGTGTGCTGGCTACGAAAGCACGGAACATTCTGAGGACTGATGTTGGGGCGACCCCAGACATCAGGTAGTATTGGGGGGGCGAGGCAGGTGCAGCCAGACCGGCGACCAATCAGCGGAGCCGTAGCGATCAACGGGTAGTTTGGTGATTTGGGTCCGAACAGGTGGCGGGCTGC